AATGCCAAACAGAATGCAACTATGATTTATGTCAGGCAAATAAATATCGCCCGTGTCTCTATAATACCTCTAAGTAAAAACATCAATAGAATAATACAAAAGTTATGTGGTAGAATGTATTATATTAGCTTTAAAACGGTTGAATTAAATAATATAATTTTAGAAAAAAAGAGAAATAAATATGTCAAATAATTCCAATATCTAAGATAAGAAAATTTATTACGATGATAATAGTAGTTACTATATTCTAAACTATGCTAATTTAGGATAAAAGCTTCTTTCTATACAATCCTCCCCAGTGAGAAATATATTGATTTCTCTTCTCCTTATCTATGTAGATTTCAATGCATCTTTCACTGTTTAATAACGATATACATAAATTTTACATTGTTAGTACACCTTTATAAAACATAGTTGATAAATAAATGTGTATGTATTATCAAAAATACTGGTCATATATAAATTTCTGCAAAAAAAGGCTATAAAGTCTTCTATTTTTTTAATAGTTTTATTTATTTTGCCTTCAAGAGTTGTAGATTTTACTTAATGGAACATAAACAGTTCTACACAGAAACTGATGTTTAAATAAAAAAAATATTAAAAATACGAAGAAATAAACTAAATAAATATTATTAAATGACCGGTTTTATTTTGTGTAGAATACTTTTTTAGTAACAAGGATCGTTTAACATTGAAGAAGTTATTCTCTAGGGAATGGTTAATGTGTTTTTGAAATGGAAAACCGGTTTCAGTCGGGATCATTTAGATTTTTTTTCGATTCACTTCTAATACTTTTCAATGGTAAATGGTACGTGATATTTATTCGAGACATTATACTTTTGTTGAGTTATTGCAATGGAAATACAAATTAAGTTTCCAGAAATAGGGGAGACCGGGGCAAGATCGGCATGTTAAGCTTTACTTAAATTTTGTGTAATAAATACTACTGTAAACTAAAAAAAAAAGCTTTGCATATTGTCTATTGGAATGTTACCTTACTATAGAACTGGTTAAAATCAGTTTGGAAATAAAAATAATTAAAATAATTACAACTTTACAAGAAGAGAGAAATTGACGAAGTTGCCCCGGGTATAGGGGCAAGATCGGCAACTTCTCTCTTTTTGTAAAGTTGTAATTATTTTAATTATTTTTATTAAAGTTGCCCCTGGTATAGGGGCAACAGTAATGGGGCAAGATAGGCACGTATATAAAATTATGTTATTAACAATGTATAAGTTGGAATTCACTATTAAAACAAAGAAATACAAATCCAACACCCATTTAATATTATTACAACGAAATGCAAGTTCAAAGACATATATACATGAATAACAAATGCAAACATGTTTTCATTTATCATCTGTTTGATTTTTATCCTTTGCTTCTAATGTGGCTTTATGTTGCCGATCTTACCCCACTAGTCATGATTTCGAAACATTAAGTACAACCCTGAGAACAGAATGCCAAGCCACGATCTGGCCACGTGAATAAGTTGAAGTTACATCCTTCTAACAGGAAAAGTAACTTTCGTTATCGTGGAATTATAACAAAACCTGCCAATTCAATATAAATGGAAAAAAAATATATTATATGGAATTCAACGAAAATGAAAATTTGCTTGATAATTCAACTACGCTTGTTGGAGAACAATAAAAACACTACACTCAACAAGCCACCAATAAAACTCAACTGCCTAACCTATAACCAAAGTCTCCTTTTAATTTGTTTTTTAAAAAAAGCGCTTGACAAACTTGCCTCGCATGCCGAAGTTGCCCGGTCTCCCCTATATTTTAAAAGAACATTAAAATGTATTTTGCTGTGTTCAAAGATGATAATTCAGCTTATATCTTAAGATTCGACCATAAACCACGTTTTCTATTTAATCTTCTCCCCTCTCTCCTTGGTGGTCTCTAGATCTATCTCCAAAGAAGACCACGTGAAAATGTTATAATCCCTCCCTCTTATTTTTGGGAGATCTTAAAATTACATTAACAATCGAAACAAAAATACTGTAGATGGAATACAGTTTAATGTATTCGAGATTTGAACGAGGAATGGGGGAATCAACCCGTTAGGTTGTATTCATTTTTACAGTACAAATAGAAAAACAGGATTATTAAGTCACCGGCTTGTACTGCATTAAATTTCTGTCTTAACCTTTCGTTTAATTATTTTAATAGAATTAAAATTAATAATATATGTAGTTTATTTCATGTACTTAACATTTTATTCCTATTTTTAGTCACATATTTAATTTATTCAATTTAAAATATATGCTTTCCATCTCAAATTAGTAGTGGCTTGCCCCTGTAAATCATACTTTTCCTTTAACAATAGAGCCGTTCCGGTTATCTATCTAACCCCTTTCAGAAGAAAATTTTTTGAATTGAAATAACATAGCTTCAGGTTTGTTTCAGGAAGTTTTTGTATAGTTAATCAGGTCCTTCTGATACTTTTCACATGTTTCTTAAGTTTCATTTATCTAACACCATTAGAAAGGGGTTAGATAGATGACCGGCACGACTCTATTGTTAAAGGAAAAGTATGATATACAGGGGCAACTTTTCTAATTTGAGATGGAAAGCATATATTTTAAATTGAATAAATTAAACATATGACTAAAAATAGGAATAAAATGTTAAGTACATGAAAGATTAAGGAAGGATAGACAGTGGAGATTTATAGGTCTACAGTTGTTTTCAAATTGCAGTCCAAAAATAATAGTCTATTGCTTTTAACTAACATACAGTATGTGTCTACTTAATTTCAATGTTTCTTTATGTTCTGTTTTCATACATAGGGATGTAAAAGTGTTTGTATGATATTACTATAAGCGTTCACGTAAAGACAATCGTACAAAATGTAGGTTAACATCAACGTTTAAGATTCATATCAAAACATGAAGATCAAACTACAACTTATTGTTCTCTCACTAGGTGATACGCCTTTTCTCTTGTGCCATTTAATGGAACATCATTGTCTATAAAGTTCCGTATATAATAAGGCCACGACCTAAACGATTCTCTAAACTTTTCTGCGTTATTATTATTATATAATTTGTAAGCATAAATAGAAATTCAAGTAAAATAAAACAATTAGAGTCTTTAACGAACGATGTTATTAGTTTAAAAAGCTTACTTTCAGTGTCGATTGTTACACGAATTGTCCGCTTTCGATAGTTCTACTTCCCCCCTTCTGTACAGAAATCATTTTATACTTTTACACACACGGGAGAAATCATTTTAATACTGTAAAAACAACCTTCTGATTCCAAATGTGAGCAAGAAAATTATATTTAAATAGGTAAAAAAATTGGTAAAATGTTAAACAACAGATGGAGTTGATATCAGGTGTCTTCTTCGGCGTCACCACTTCACCGAATTGTTTTTATATATATTATAAATCTTCTTTCGATTAATAATTTCTTCCATACTTTGAATTATTAAGTATACATTATGATACTCTCTGATCAAGTGGGTCCTCTGAAATCAAGGTAAAGAAGCTTCAAAAGGAAGAGGATGGATAAATCTAGATCCTATATCAATCCTTTTAACTTCTTTAACTCCACTTTTCCAGTTTCGTTTCCGTCTTCCTCCACATCTTTCTTGGTCTTCCTATTTTTCTTTCATTATCTTTAATCTGTGCACCTCTCTCTACATGATTATTCGTATAAGAAAGAATCCTTTCCCTATCCATCCTTCTCTATTCCCAAGAAAAAAGACACTGTACAAAATACAAAATGAAATATTCAAAAGCAAATTAGAAATTTCTTGTCAATGTTATAATTTATTATCGTATTAATGCACGACGTTTAAATTAAATTTACTGGTTAACTAAAACTAAATGTTAATTTGTTCACATGACAATTAATTAAAGGAGAACGTTATCGTAGAGACTCGTTTAGAATAACAAATAAATTAATATCATACATACACAAAGATTAATTTCAATGGTTATATAATCCCTTAATAATTCGAATGAAATCCAAAACTTTGAGTCGTGAACTTTGACTTATCGATCAGGAAGTTTCTCCTGTAATATACATGTTAATAAATTCTGATTCTGATTGACTGTGGGTGACATTTTTCTATGCTAATTGCTTTATATGAATGCTCTGTATTTTCTCCATTAATTGGTTCTGTTTGATCACCGAAATTAAACGCATTCGTTCCCCTTAATGATAACGTTCTAATGTTATTTTACAGCTGAATATCAAACTTCTACAATTATCTAATATATTTTGAAGTCTTCCCACCCATTTTAATAAATTTCCGACTTATTAAGAAATAAATAAATGTAAAACAAATTAAATTTAAGCATGTAGTAATACGAAACTATTTATTAAGCTTCAGAGAGGGTGAAAAAAACCTTGCCCAGCACACACACACCTACACATTAACATCTATAAATACAAAAGAAAACCCCCCGAATTTTTTGCATTTCTCGACTCTTCAAAATGTCTTGAGTACAAAAATTTAAAAAACTCCTTGGTCATTTTAAACACTCTGTGGAAGGATCTCTGTGAAGAATATTCCATAATGTGATTGGAGGAAACTTTTCTCACGATTAGAAGTCATACATTTGAAAAAAAAAAAAATCATTTATTATTTATGTCGTTGCTTCCACGTTTCTGAATTCTCATATAAACTTATCGATTAAACGACAAGTTGATACCGTTTTTTTTTATCACTTGTCACTTGGTGATTTTCCTCTTGTATGGAGGTGACGACGTACAGATGCTCTTCTATAAAATAACATCAGAAGGCCAGAAGAAACACTTTCTATAGGATAAACCTTTGTTAAAAGGTATCATTAAGTATTATATGAATTAACTAAACAGTGTTAGTTAAAGTATGAAATAGAAGTAATAAAATAAATGCATTTATACATGAGCATTTTCTCACGCTCCGACCCACAACTTTGGGTTGCAGTGACAGACCGGACTGGTATCTCAATGTCCGGTTTTTTGTTAATTGATATTAATTTTTGTTCACAAATACTACAGTGTTTCCTGCAATATAACTGTTTGAGGCACCTATTCTTGTTCCCAATCGATGAAATCCTTGACTAATTTCTTCCATAACAATAGCAAGAATGGATCTGGCATCTTCTCGTCCTCTGTCAACTTCAGGCATTGGAATTCGAACCGTCATTCCTACAGATGACACGGAGTGTGATTTTCATTTTCTTTGCTTGTATCAATATTTCCAAACCTTCTTTGGCCTCTTTTCTTTCTTTCCGAACATTCAGTTTATTTAAACATAACCTGCACATCTTCTGTTCAACGTCTTCTGAAATATAGGTTTCTTGGTGATCCTCAGAATCCCTTGTGCAAATGTCACGTAACGTAGATGTGGCTTCTTCAACCAAAGTGTCCTTATTTCGTGTTGCAGATGGAGGGAGCATCTTGCATATCATCGTTATTCAATGAATCAAATGCTTCCTTTGGAATGGGTGTTGTTGACAATCCCACCTTTGCTGCACAAACGAACATAGCTTCGTAAAAGATCTCTTTATACCAGAATGGATACCTCTATATTCCATGAACTGAATAAATTTTAGACCGTTACTAAATGAAGTAGATCGATCATCTTGCATTCAGGTTGTCAGTATGTTTTCTATGTCTTGGTTGTCCCTCTCTACGCTTCCTTGACTCTGGCTGTGCCTTGGTTTCCGGTGTACAATTTTAAGTTCTGGTCAAGTTATTTTCAAGTTTTCTATGACCTTATGTAACTTTAAGCAGAACTATTAACTTCTCTATTCCTTGAACCTTCTAGAACATCATAATGTTGAAGTAACCAGTAATCTCAATGTTTTTTCTTCGTATTCACTGTGGCTGTCTTCACTTCGTTTATAAATCGTAATAACTTTTTATGAGTTAGCAACGTCTACATATAGTATAGGCTTCAATTTTTAATCATATTTTTAATTTATTTAATTTAAAATATATGCTCTCCACCTCAAGCTATTAGTTTATTACCCCTGTAAATCATACTTTTCCTGACAATAAGTCATTCTGGTCATCATATAACTCAATTCTGGCATAAAGTTTTGACGTGACTTGTTTAAAACCGAAGTTGTATACTTAATCGGAGCTCCCTGCCCGTATTCTTTCCATACCCCGTCTAGGTTTTCATCTGTCTAACTCTATTCTCGAGATTTAGGAAAGACAGGCAGACAGATATAAATTAATTTAATGCCTTGCAATTTAATATATTTTTATCACAATGTTTAGGCAAGATAAATTAACAATACAAAAGATCCAAAGGATCCAGTCTGCGGAACGTGGGACATGAAACAGGGACGTCTTATCATATCCTATTGCAAAACCGATCTGCAAGCCATTGACGAACGTATCTCTGGAATGAGACACTGTGCCATCGTGCTGGTTCGAAACCTGCTACAATTGCACCAATAGCAAGTTATTAATCCAGTCGTTAACCGCAGTGTTAAAATGTTCAGGCATCGCTCATTATTCAGCGAATACGAGAACAAGAAGCTGCTCATCCCAAATCCCACATCAGACTTCGCGTCGCGTATGTAGCACGCTACGTACACGCTGCATTGTGGAGCACGCTTTGCTCAGTGGTGCACGTTGTGATGATTATACAATACAATTGTACCTCGTTAAAATTGTACCTCGTTAGTTCATAAAATGTGCTAAACGACTTGTGGTTCGTCATGCTGTAAATTTACATCACGATGTAACACGCAAATCGCCGTGCGTCATCCTCTAAGATTGTGATGGTACTGTAGATAACAGGAAAATGAATTTATGTCACGGTGACATGATATCCGGTGTATTTTTGTCTACTGTACTGTACTGTAGTCCATAACCTAAGCAATGCGTCGTCCGGATGGACAAGCGGTTAATTTAAACTCTTTAACTGGAAGACCGGATATTTTACCCCTTAAGAGACACATTAAACCTGAGCAATAACGTGTCCATTAATTTTTTCAATCGGACTTAACACAGTAGTCGTGCATTGTTTCATCTTCAGACTGATTAAAGAGCGTGAATAATTAAATCAAATTGTTCGTTAATCTAGTATTTTCGATAATCCGGCACCACTCTGGACGCATGGGTGCCGGATTAACGAAATTCTACTGTATATATTTTTTAATTATGCAAGCTATTTAAGGTTTAAAATCTATACAAGAAATTATTATCGAGTAGAAAGTAATATAATGCTAATAAAGCTGAACATAAGATACTAAGATGACGTTGCGACTAATTTGCATTTTTCTCATTTTTTTCCTGTTTAATCTGTTTGGAAAATATCTTAATTTAAGAACCAATTTAGTTTAATGAAGACGTACAAAAAAATTCATACATGCAGCTTACGATACTTAATGAATGCCGCTTACTTTTCTTGCTAATTACACTTCAAACGTTTCTTTTTTCTTTCTTTCTTTCTTTCAATTAAGTGTCATTACTTTATTTAGAAACTTTATTAAAAACCTAATAAATCATTTAATAAATATTTAAATTCTTAAGATTAAAATATCTTTTAAACTATAGAGGAAAAAATAGAGAAAGAGAAACGTTTTCTATTGAGAAAAGTGTTCTTAGAGGTAGGTTGTCTCTGTAGACTGAAGGCAATCGTTTTGAGTAGACAATGAAAGAACGAATGTGGCCGATAAAGTGCTGATCTCAAAGTGTTTCTTTCTTCTTTCACTGAGATAGAGAAATAAACAGAGGATTATTTCGGCGAAGAAACTCTCAACATCAAGATAAAGAAAGAATTGATTCTATTCTTTATATTAAAAATATGATTAAAAATTGCAGTCTGGCATTGTGAGGATGTCACAATAAATAATTAAAAATTATTATATCATTGCACTTAGTCATGTCCTCGAATTTACAGCCAACTGTCTCAATTATAATTGGACGAACGACATTCTGTGTTGCAAGATTTCAGGACTTGACACGAAGCAAGTTAATAAAAACTATGTGTAATATGACTAATGTCTTAATGGAAACGAAAGTGCATAGGCGATCATACAGGGGAAATATGCCAAATAATTGAGAGAGGCCAGATTATTAATTAAGGACCGTATTAGCAAAAGTATATTACAGTCGACCCCCCATATAACACGGTAGATACGTTCCGTTCTTTATGAACCCATTTTGTACGAGTCTTTGCCAATCACAGCCCGACACGTGTGAAGTTTACGGACTACGGCTGTTTGAAAGGTTTTCTTCCATAAAATTAATCGATTCCTAGACTAATTCGACTCAACATTTCCAAAACACGTATATTTTTTGGGAATAATCCGTATAAACTATGCTATAAACAAAAAATTGTAGGATTATTTACCGAGTGTGCACCGTTATTTACCGTTCGACGTCGCCATTGCTTAAGCTTGTTTTCGTCGCGGAGCGGCACACCAAACTGCGGCCGCGATTTTTAATAAGTTATTTTTCTGCGAAAACTTCGTTGAACTTTGGAGACATCATTAATATAAATAATTTTTATGACCGTTGAATAAGAAATGTTTCTTTCACAAGAAATGTATAAAATTACTGCTGTATTAGACTTACGGTACCTAATTTACATACTGTACAGACGATAGTAAACTCAAC